ATTATGACCCAAACATCTCGAATTTTTACATGGATTAGGCCAACGAATAAACATACGTGTTTTGATAAAGATCGGCCAATATTTAGCGGGTCAAATGGACCCTGGCTTTTGTGTGAAAAATGACACAATTTGTATTCTATAGCCGAGAAGTTGATAGTATATCCAAGAGGCCTTTAAATTGATACCAATTATATTGTGATATGTACTCGGATGTGGGAGTTACACGTTAATATTTACAGGTGCTTATGTATGCAGATATTATTAAAAAAACAATTACCACACTAGAGGGCGAAAATATAGCGCTGATCGCTATGAAATGTTTCATGAGGTTTCAGTTATGGTCAAAAAATCTTTAAAAACTTACTATGCCAATAAAAATTAATTTAAAAAATACGTCTCAAAAGGTAGTTAAAAAATCCTCATAAATCGTTGTTAGGTATGTCAATATTCTTTATAAGCATTTGACACCTTCCAGGTCCTCCCATAAATTACTAGTGTCGTGTTTTATAATTAAAGAAAATATTAACATCAATTATTGCAGATTTTTGAATCATAATTCTTTTGAAGGATATTTATTTTTGGTCAAAACAGCCTTATGCAGTCAAAACAGCCTCATGCAGTCAAAACAGCCTACAGCTGAGGTCCCGTAAAGCGTTGAATATTTATAGATATTATACTAGAGACTAACCAGAGTTTTGTGTTCGAAGAATGTCTTGAAATTTGGAACAATTATTTTGTAACTATAGCTCAAAACATAATTTGTTGGACTTACCACAAATAATGTTTTGAGATGTAGTCCTTTTAAAATATCGTATAGTCCTTTGCAAGTCTTAAAATAGTCCTAAAAATTCCACATTTTTAGCTTAGTTAGTTCCCAGTTTAATTTTATTTATATTTGTTCGTAATTTTTCTTGTTGCACCCTTCAAACTACGTCGATAATTACTGGCCATAAAAATATATACGCTTTAAACTGTTGCTACCGACTTTGTTGTAGACAAAGTGCTGATGTTGTAGCTGTTGCTGCTGTTGTTAGTCGATTGCCTTCTCACATTGTTTAACCTTGAGTTTTTTTCGAGTTTTTTTCATTTCACGAGGTTACATAGGAGGCCTTACGTTGCCAGACAGCCATAAAACATTGAAGCATGGATTTGCCAAAACACATTTTGATTGATGACATCCGTCAATTTTGACAGTTTCTTAAAAAAATAAAAAAAACTATAACAAAAAAGAAATGTTTCACGTTACTCCTTCAAGAATATAAAAGAGCTTCTTCTGGTTGCAAAATTTAGATGAAGGATAGATGGATGAATGGTCGGTTGGTTCGTTGATTGCTGAAAATGGGTGGTACCGCGTCTACACAATGGCCCAAAATGTCTGTGAAGTTGGCTTAGTTAATATATATTCTGCAGGATGATGGTGGGTTGGGGGGAAAGGGAAGGGGTGAAGGCAAGGATATATTCTTTGGATGTGAAATACTTCTCGGTTATATTTTTACTTGTGAAAAATTCCTGGGTATCCCTATTAGAAGGCAAAAATTTTGGGAAAATTCCAAACACCCTCTAAGAGATCTGTCAAATAAATTTCAAACTTTTAAGATCAGTTTTTCCTGTAGAGTCTGTATTGAGAATTGAGTTCGAAATATTTTTTTTTTAATTATCAATGTTGTTGCACTTTTTAGGGTAGCTCCCATTTATCATTTTGGGGAGCTTGGGAAGGTTTTTCAGCCAAATTGGCTGTAGTTTTATATTTTAAATTCACATTGGGATATTCCTAACATAAATTAGGCAATGAAAGATATATAGAAGGCGATTGGTGGCCTCGGAGAAAACAAAACAGAAACCTTGTTTTTGGAAATTTTTTGGGGAAACAAAGATAGGTCCTCATGAAATTACAGATATTTGTGGGAAGTTTGTTTTAGGGTTAAAAGTATAATGGCTCCCTGATTCAGTCACACATTGTTGTAGTTTTTGCTGTTGGGTTTCGTAACATTTTTAAATATCTGAAAGGGAACCTGGTCTTATCGATTACACACAATAACATAATGATGCTCATTTAAGGGGTTCCTAACATGAAATATAAATTCTGACCCATTTTAACATAGTTCCCTTTTTACGGTTATTTGTAGATTATGGCCAGGGTTTACCCAATTGCCATTAATTCGGTTCTCATTGGGTGTCAAATCTTCCAACCAAAATTTTACCATAACATAGCTCGCCATATATCTGAAATATGGACGCAAGCGTGGGGCCGGCGAAATGAATTTTTTCACAGTAAATTTATGTTTGCAACGGCGAAATCTGAAATCCTGTGTGCGTTGCTGATCCGAACGATTACAGGTATTTGAAATGCCCATCCCATGGTGGAGGGTATAATATGTGTGACCCTGCCGAACTTAACGAAGCCTTCAGTTGTTTTTTTGTTTTATTTGGTCTGCTCCGGAATTTGTTTTATTAGGTCAACGCCTCTTTTTCAAATTTTATTTATTTTTTTTTCCCCAAATTGGCAATAAATTGCCAAACCACAAAACTCATAACTCCGGATATCAGAAAAAAACGAATATTAGATGATTTCCTCCTCCCCTTCCACACAAAATAAAAACAACAACAGTAAAAAATGAAAAACAAATGACTCTAAAACTTTACCATGGTCCGAAATACTCTTCAATGGCTCCTTCAGCTTTTGTTTCTTCAGGTGATTTTAATTTTCAAGTTTTATCATAAATTTCTTCTTCTTCTCATTTTTTTGAACAACTGAAACTTAAAGCGATAAAATGTTGGCATACAAATGGTTTAAATTATGACCATGGCAGGAGAATGCAGCAACAACATCAGGTTGTGTGTGTGTTGTTGTTGGTGTTTAAATGAAGTTGCCTTGGCCATTCAGACTTATCGTCGTCGACGTCTTTCTGTGGCCGCATAGAGCTCCAGCACATTCATTAACTACCCTTGGGGCTTTTTTCGGTGTGTGTGCAGCATTGTTGTCTTGAGTTTCCTACCCTCTGTTTCGCCAGAGAGCTCTCAATTCTACTCGTCAGCAAAAGTATTATCAGAAAGTCATGATATGATGATGACGATGACCAGGGTGATGATGCTGGACAGAAGCTGCCCCTTTGGCGGTTAGATAAAGACCAAGAATTTTTTGTGGTTTTTTGTTTTTGGTGTAGCTAAAGCTAAATAAAGTATTTGACACCATGTCATTATACGGTTGCACTTTTGGGATGTGTTTTTACCAAAAATACGGTTACTCCCTACCACCACCTTCAGACCCGCCAGCTCTGAAAGTGGAAGCTGTTCAACAAAACACCCTCCATTTTAAATAGCTCTTGGGGTTTCTGCTTGTTCCTTAGAACGAGAATGGCTGCTCATTGTTTGACTATTATTTCCCAAATACATACATAAGTTAATTCCCACTCATTCATACATGTATATGTAAATAATACGCATCAAGTATCAGAAGTCCAATTCTGCACTTAGCAGTCATTCACTCAGATCGTCAGATCAGCATTTTGAAACAGTTTTTGGCTTTGAAAACTATTCTCAGTCAAGGTGTTGGCATTTAAAATGATTTTATAAGCATGCTGATGAACAACAGCAACATCACCAGCATGAAAATGGTCAGATGGATGGATGAATGAATGACTGACTGACTGCTGGACAACTCCAACACATGATGGATGCTTTGGAATCTTTTTGAAGAGTTGCTCACAAAAAAATGTGTGTAGCTTAAAGCAATGGCATAAATTAAACGTTCTCTGTATTTAATGGTAATTGCAGCTTTTTGGTATATGCTCCACATTATTTTTGTTTTTGGGTATGTGTGTGTCTGTGTATGCATTTCTTGGGGTTTACATGTTGTTCAAATGGCCCAACAGTTTAAATTTGCGTAACACTTAACAGCTACTGTTTATTCTTGTTGCGGATACTCAAGTTGCTCGATTATTATTATCATCATCAGAAGGAGGTGCAGGCAACGACGAGGTGGAGTTTTTGATGCCACAAATTGCAGCTAATTAGGCAACGAAGGATATATATGATTAACCCTTGGAAGGCAAATGAATGGTGGTCTATGAAAAACGAAAAACAGAATCCTTATTTTTGGAAATTGTTTTGGGGAAATTAAAAGAGGTCTTCGTAAAAATGCAGAATTGTTTGATGAAATGTCCCACTTATGTAGTTTTAGGGTTAATCATTTCCAAAAAGGGCTCCCTGATTCAATCACACACATTGTTGTAGTTTTTGCTGTTGTTATTTGGTAACAATTTTTAAATATCTCGAAGCGACCTGAGTCGTGTCGATTGCACACAATAACATAATGATGCTCATTAATGTGTATTTAAGGTGTTATGGCCAACAACAACAGCATCAATATTCGAACAAAAGCCAAAAGTGTTATTTGATATGGGGGGCAATAAAGTTGGACAAAGAAACGATATGAACGGAGGGAAATTATGGATGTGATCCCTAGTTGTAAATTTTCAGGATGAAAGAACATACAACAAGAATTTTTATTGGAATCTTTTTAAAAAATATTTCATTAAAAATCCACACCAAACATAATTTTGAAAGATATAAAAAAATCAAATTTTAAACATATGTTCATGAAAAAAATTCACGAATCAAATTTTTATTGTTGTTTTTAATATTTAAAAAAAAATCGTATTAAAAAACTTATAAAAAATATTTTTTTTTTCAAAAACCCAGGCCTCATTTTTTTTGGAAAATATCATACCTTTGTATTGGTAAAAATCATACCTTTGAATTGGTAAAATATTTGTTATTAAAAAATTATTTTAAACCCAGCTTACGATTACTGAAAAATATATATATTCGTGGGATGTTACATAATATATATATTAATTAATTTCTAATAAAAAATCCAAGCCAAGGAATTTAGAAAAAAATATTCATCAGTTATGCCTAAATATTTTTTTATCCCTTTTTAATTTATTTTCCAAAAATTCTAATATTTTCTCTTCTTCTTAATTTTTTCTTCTTTCCAGGTCGCAGTGAGCCGCCGGTCGGTGTTGGCGACCCCTGTGCTGGTTGCAATAAACCAATTTTAGATAAATTTTTATTAAATGTTTTAGAACGCGGTTGGCATGCGTCCTGCGTGCGCTGCTGTGAATGCCTTCAGCCTTTAACGGATAAATGCTTTAGTAGAGAATCGAAACTATACTGTAGGAATGATTTCTTTAGGTAAGTAGAAAAAAAACAACGCCTCATAGTAGACCTTTTAAAATATTTTTAAAAAATCTACGCCCTTTAAAAATATTTTGAAAAAAATCTACGCCCTTTTAAAAATATTTTGAAAAAATCTACGCCCTTTAAAAATATTTTGAAAAAATCTACGCCCTTTAAAAATATTTTGAAAAAATTTACGCCCTTTAAAAATATTTTTAAAAAATCTACGCCCTTTAAAAATATTTTTCAAAAATCTACGGCCATTAAAAATATTTTTAAAAAATCTACGCCCTTTAAAAATTTGTTTAAAAAATCTATGCCTCATATTAGGCCTTTAAAAAATACGTACTTACTTAATTAGCTGGATTGTGGCAGAACTTTCGTTCCATATGCCGAGCTTAGAAAAGTTTTCCAGGTCCGTCGGTCTTTTGTGTAGTTTTTCCAATTTAAATGACAATTTTTGGCGATATTGTCTTCGACTTGATCTTTCCAACGTATTCCTGGCCTTCCCCTTCTGCGAGAACCATCAGCTTTTATATGCCTTCTGGGCTGGGACATCTTCATCCATTCTCACAACATGACCCAGCCCACGTAGACGCTGCAGCTAAATACGTCTAACAATGTCGATGTCCGAGAATAGCTGCTACAACCCATGGTTCATTCGACGGCGATATTCACCGTCAACTCAGATCGGCCCATAGATCTTTCGGAGAATTTTTCTCTCAAACACTACAAGAGCTGCCACATCTGCTTGTCGAAGTATCCATGCTTCAGATCCATATAACATTACGGTAGTATCAGCGTCTTGTAGAATGTGAGTTTGGTCTGGCGGGAGGTGGCCTTGATTTTGAGTTGTTTGCTGAGACCATAGTAGCATCTGTTGGCCATCACAATCCTTTTCCGAATTTCAAAACTGATGTCATTCGTTTTATTTTTGGCGGTACCAAGGTATATAAAATCATTAACTACCTCGAAGCTGTAGTTCTCAAGTTCCACAGTTGGTCCGAGTCTACTGGATGTCTTGCGCGTTGATACCATCAGTTTGGTCTTCTCGCAGTTTACTGCCAGACCCACTTTGCAGACTTCTTTTCAATTTGTTCAAAGGTGGATGTTACCGCTCTCAATGTTGGACCAATTATGTCGATGTCATCGGCGTAGGCAAGTAACATTTGTTGCCTTTAAAAAATATGTTTGAAAAATCTACGCCTTTGGTAGATCTTTAAAAAGTTTAGGCCTCATAGTAGGCCTTTATAAATATATTAAGGAAATCTAGGCTTTATAGTAGACCTTTAAAATATATTTAAAAAATCTACGCCTCATTTCAAAAATATTTTTTAAAAATCTATGCCTTATGGCTGGGCTAAAAAATATTTTTAAAAATCTTCGCCTTATGAAAGCAAATCTATGCCTAGTAGGTACGTCTCCGAAATATGGTTTTTAAAAAAAATCTACGCCTTTTGCAGTTCTTTAAAAACTATTTAAAAAATCTACATCGAAACACTTCCTTTAAACCCCATTTTTTCAATTCTATTGAATAGTTGTTTAGAGTATTTAAGCACCCTCACACATACGCAGATATCTAACTAATTTCGTTTTATTTGTTCATCTGCATGCAAAGCGATGATTTCTATTCTTTTTTTGCAATCACAAATAGAAAAAGTGATCGAAAAAAACTAACTCAGTTAAATAAAGAAAAATCAATTAAAACACGAACAATAAACATAGAAAAATCGTTAGAAAAAAGGATGTGTGATTTTAAACCTGTGAATGAAAAAAATCGACGAAGTATATCAGAAGGTAGAAAAAAAAATAATATTATGGCGATGTCCTTCAATTATTTTTTATTCAGGTGGCTAAGTTTTTTTTTAATATTATTTTTTCCAATTCAGGCATTGTTTGAACAACTGAGAATGTCAATATTGTCATCATCAGCTGGAGCAGCAGCATCAACAGTATTCGTGCTGGAAACGCATGCTAAATAAAATCGGGGAGAAGAAAAAGTAAAAATAATTTTGCAAACAAGATATGCCATGATTTGATGGGATTCTTATTTTTTTAAATCGAGAATAGGGATTTAATCGAATGATGAGTGTCATGTATAGTTGATTGGGTTCGAACGAAGTGTTGATTGATTTGTGATGCGATTTTTTCCATCCATTTTATTCAAGTATTCCATTTTTTCTCTTCTCTTTCTCTTCCAGACGCTATGGCACAAAATGTAGTGGCTGCGGCCAAGGCATTGCTCCCTCCGATCTCGTTAGGAAACCTCGTGATAAGGTGTTTCACCTCAATTGTTTTACATGTTGTATCTGCCATAAACAGCTCAGTACCGGCGAACAGCTTTATGTACTGGACGAAAATAAATATATCTGCAAGGATGACTATTTGCTGGGCAAAGCGCCGTCGATATGTGGCCATAATTCGTTGAGCGGTAAGTACCCCATTTTAATATCAAGATATTTACATATATTTATTCCAAGATGCATATTTACCAATACATATTTACAAATCCACACTGAAGTTGAACGTCTTGCTAATTAGCTGCAAGAAGGAGCGAGAGTAGTAGATATTATCACACACACCCATAGAGACACAAATGGCCTCTGTATGTTCCGTCTTGAAATTCTAGGGCCTTTCTGTGTTCTGTGTACCCAAATCTTTACCGATATTTTTGTGAAAATATCCAAAGATGAACAGCAGCAGCAACAACAAATATTTTCATATCAAAGTGTTGGCGTGTTATGTATATTCCATGCTATTGTTTGCCATGCTCCCATTCATTTTCAAACCCAATTCATTTGTGTAAGTGTGTGTGTGTGTCTGACACACGTTTGTGTATTGCCAACATTGAATTCAGCTGCAACAATCCAGACATGAATGGATGTTGTTGATGATGATGTTGTAGTTATTGTTGTCGTTGTTGTGGATGGATGTCATGCCACATCATTTATGCCACACCATGCCTTAACACGACAATGTATTATGTATGAGACTGTGGTTCCGCAGAGGAAAATTGCATTCCAATTTTTTTTTTAATCTAAATCTAAAAAAATAAAAAAAAATATATTTGTAAACATTTTTAAAAATTTGACTCTTATGGCAGTCTATTAAAAAATATTTTTAAACCAGTGAGCAGAGCAGTATAGTCGGACGGGGCCGACCATATGATACCCTACACAACTTCCATGAAAATCTAACTTTCTGTGGTTCGATAGCTTGGGCAATATTTTGCGATATTTGCACCCTCTTGGCCGACTAGAGGTCAACAAATATTACAAATATTCAGTACAGCTCTTTTAATTACTTGTCCAGATGCCCTTTACCGTGAGTTATGTTGTGTTGTGCTTTCAACTGTGGCCTATAGATCGACTCGAAAAAACACAAAAAATTACGTTTTCGGTCCACTTCATTCCAATATTATTATCCGATCATCGTAGAAATTATAGGCGTTGTCCTTGACCTGGATCCTCATGGACAATTTTAAAGCGATTAGCGCTATATTTCCGACCTCTAGTGTGGTAATGGTTTACTAAATAATATCTCAGTACGTAAGTACCTGTAAACATTTAAGTGTAACTCACACATCCGAGTACATAAGACAAAGTAATTGGTATCAATTTGAAGGCCAACAACTCCTCGTGAATATATTGTCAACTTCTCGGGTCTGGGTCCTTTTGGGGTAAATCTATACGCTATAGAATACAAATTTTGTAATTTTTCACACAAAAGTCGGAGTCCATTTGACCCGCTAAATATTGCCCTATCTTTATCAAAACCGATCTTTATCAAAACTTTATTCTCTGCCCGATCCCCTTCTCCATGCAAAAATTCGCGGTGTTTGGGCCATAATTCGGCCTGTGGAGCTACCAGTAAATTAGACAAATATAAAGTGTTTGGTCCATTTCATGCCCTAAATATTAACCGATCTTTACCAAAAACAATAGGGGTATTCATTAGCCAGAACCCATCTTACATGCAAAATTTCGTGAAGATTTGTTCATAATTGCGGACATTGGTTCATAGACGGACGGACACACATGTCTAGATCGACTCAGCTAGTCGAGATATGGCGATCGGTATACTTAGAGGTGGGTCTAGGACCTACATTTCGCGGCGTTACAAACTCTTGGGGCTGCACAAAGCTATAATACCCTGACAACATAGTTGTGTAGGGTATAAAAATCAACGCCTTACATTAGACACCTAAAATATTTTTAAAAAAATTTACACCATCTTATTCCCTTAAATATATTTTTCAAAAAATCTAATCCTTTTTAGTCCTTTAAAAAATCTACGCCTTAGATAGTCCTTTAAAAAATCAAAGCCTTTGGTAGTCCTTTAAAAAATATTTTTAAAAATCAAGGCTTTTGGTATTCCTTTGAAAATCAAGGCTTTTTGTAGTCCTTTAAAAATCAAGTCTTTTGGTAGTCCTTTAAAAATCAAGGCTTTTGGTAGTCCTTAAAAAATCGACGCCTTTGGTAAACCTTTTAAAAAACTTTGCTTTTGGTAGTCCTTTAAAAATCAAGGCTGTTGGTAGTCCTTTAAAAATCAAGGCTTTTGGTAGTCCTTCAAAAATCAAGGCTTTTGGTAGTCCTTTAAAAATCTACGCCTTTGGTAGTCCTTTAAAAAATCTACGCCTTTGGTAGTCCTTTTAAAAATCTATGCATTTGGTAGTCCTTTAAAAATCTACGCCTTTCATAGCCCTTTAAAAAATCTACCCCTGTGGTAGTCCTTTAAAAATCAAGGCTTTTGGTAGACCGTTAAAAATCAAGGCTTTTGGTAGTCCTTTAAAAATCAAAATCTACGCCTTTAAAAAATAGGTTTGAAAAAGTTACGCCTTATGGTAGTCCTTTAAGAAATCATCTTAAAAAAGTCTACGCCTTTAAAAAATAGGTTTGAGAAAGTTACGCCTTATGGTAGTCCCTTAAGAAATCCTCTTTAAAAAATCTACGCCTTTAAAAAATAGGTTTGAGAAAGTTACGCCTTATGGTAGTCCCTTAAAAAATCCTCTTAAAAAAATCTACGCCTTTAAAAAATAGGTTTGAAAAAGTTACGCCTTATGGTAGTCCCTTAAGAAATCCTCTTTAAAAAATCTACGCCTTTAAAAAATAGGTTTGAAAAAGTTACGCCTTATGGTAGTCCCTTAAAAAATCCTCTTAAAAAAGTCTACGCCTTTAAAAATTAGGTTTGAAAAAGTTACGCCTTATGGTAGACCCTTAAGAAATCCTCTTTAAAAAATCTACGCCTTTAAAAATTAGGTTTTAAAAAGTTACGCCTTATGGTAGACCCTTAAGAAATCCTCTTTAAAAAATCTAAGCCTTTAAGGTTTTAAAAAGTTACGCCCTTAAGAAACCCTCTTTAAAAAATCTACGCCTTATTTTAGACCATTTCAAATATTTTTATACGCCTAAACATAGTCTGAGGCTCTCATATACATTTGAAACCACTGTCCCACATTTTGCCTATTTGGTCGTTATATCTCTATGCTTGAGTCTGTGTGTGTATGTGTCTGCGATAAATATTTAGTAAAATTTTGTTTAGATTTTATACAATTTTAACCAAACTAATAATTTAAATCGACTGTTTGTCGATGGTAGCCTTCTCGTTGTTGGTGTTGTTGTTGTTGCTGTACCCCATTGTCATTGTTGTTGTTGTTTAAATGTTGCAACATGCAAAGTGTACCCAAACATTAACAACGACAATAAGAGCAATAACAACAATACTAAACTTCATGAGAAGGCCATGAATGAGACTGTGGATATAAAATGTAAATGCCATAGAAATGTATACAAAGGCTCCACTCCAACACACACACACATACACCGACCAACACATTCACATAACTACATACATATTCAATGTGATGTGATGTTCGTTCGTTCGTTCCATCACATTGTTCTTCTTTTAGCCATTCATAGTTTTGTTTGTTTGTCATGCAAATATTTGTATGGCTGTGTTGAAATATGTGTGAGTGAGTGTGTGTGTATGTGTGCATGAGAGTGTATTTGTAAAGTGCATCTCTCTATATGGTGGCAGCAGCAGCAACATAAATACCGGCAACAATAACTTGCAACCTTAAATTGCAAAATGTACAAATACTTAAAATGTTCAGACACACACATACACACGTACATACATTCATGCACACCTACACACATTCATGTATACATTATTCCCACTTTTATTGCAAATATGCGTGTCTATTTCTCCCAGTGTGGATGAAATGTGTATGCGTGTGTTTGTGGACGTGTGTGCGTGTCTGATACCTATTATTGGTGTTAGTGTGTGACGCTTTTATAATGTTAGCTTTGCATTGTTATTGTTGATAATGTGTGTGAGTGTATGTGTGTGCGTCACGTTCACATGCGTGTGTTTGGCTTATTTGTTTAGCTTTAGTTTTATGATAAAATGCATTTAGTCGTCGACGCTAAATCGCATTTAAGCAATTTTACTAAATAACACTTGGGGAATATTTATCAATAGCAATAAAAATAAAACAACAACAACAACATCAACTAAAAGTAACAAATAATAGTTTTGCAATTTGTATACATTTATGTGAGTGTGTGTGTGCGTGTTTGGCGTTTTAGAAAATACCATAGATCCATCATTTCGACATTTATCTCTCCACACATAAAGCCTTACATTGTTGTTGTTGTTGGTGTATGAAAATCATTTTGCAAAATTTAGTGACCCATTCCGTTCCATGTTATTCATATTTTGTTGTTAGATAAGTGCGGTTAATTATGATAATTTTTGATGAACGATTTTGTTTTATTACCACCACCAACAACAAGAACAACAAAATGTCATAATGCCGTGCACGACGTTCGGATAATTGCCTCTAAACAATTTAACAATTAAACTGAAAAATTAAAATAATTATATATCCCAGAGATAAGAGTTGGAAAATTGAAAACTAATTTGAAAGAATACTTTTCTGAAGATGAGTAATGATTGTGGAAAAATTTACAAAACTAGAAAATAAAAACATAAAAATAATTTTTTTTCGAGACTTACGGAAATTACAAATAGTTGTAAAAAATCGATGCTTTAATGTGGACCTTTAAAGGGACCCCCCCCATTCACGGGGTCAAAATTTTTTTTCGATTTAATTCGATTCTACACTAGTTCAAGAATGTCTCTACAAAATTTCAAATGAAAATCTCAAGAACTCTTGAAGATATAGCCGATTTATTGTGTCAGCATCAAGTGACGGATAAAGGGCTTCTCAAACTTTAAACGCGTTATTCTCTTTTGCGAATGGCAGGCACGATAACTCAAAAACTAATAACCCAATCGATTCCAAATTTTTACACGTTTCTCTGTGAGTGTATAGCTAGGATCAAGCCCATCGGTGAAGATCTTCCTTATTTTTAAACTTGGTTTTTGGTCAAAAATCGGTGATTTTCCAAAAATATTTTTTCAAAGGTCCGCCATTTTGTTAATTTTAGAGCGAAGTCAATAATCCTAGTTCATACGAGAGCCAGACATGTACTCTTTCTAACACCGTTGGAATTTTCGGATTCTGATGTTCCAGT